ACCAGCAGGAGAGTGTTATTCTAGGTGTGGATTGTCCCACATGTCAATCAAGATTCCCCGGGAGGGGGGTTGCCCAGACCTCAACAAGGCCCCTCTCCACTGTGGCATGTCATTCAAAAGCTCCTCCAGGCTCCCTTTCCTCCATGCTAAGCTCCTCTGACATTAAAGAAAACCTTTGTCCTTGAGCTTTGTGGTTGCTGGACAAGGCCCTGCAATGGGGACCCAGCCCTTCCAGGCTATTTACTGAAAGGACGCTTGGTTCCCCTTCAGGCCCTGGCACTGAGCAGGAGGGCCCAAGGAAGCTCTGCGGAATGTGCCACCAGCCCCCTGGCTCTGCCTGGAATTTCACGGGGACATTTTGCAGTCACTAAACTTAGCACCAGAGCCTGTGGCCTCTGGGTAGGCACAGGCATGCCAGGGGCTAAGAATGAATCATGGGGTGAGTCTGCAGGAAAATATTCAATGGGCTGGGCTCAGGGGACACATCTCACCCTAGGTGGGGGACAGGCTCCTGAGCAGCGGATCCTAGGACCCCAGGTCTATCCTGGCCTTTTCCCCCTTGGTCCAGGGACATAGTCCCTACCCTGAAAAAAAGGTCTGTACTCTTTGGGGAAAGGTTCTGGTCAGAGTCATTGATTCCATATATTCCACATGTTTATTGAAGGCCTACTATGTACCAGACACCTTACTACACCTGAAGACATTGTGGGGAAAGTGACAGAAATAGTTCTGTCCTCTGGAGCTTGGAGTCTCCTGAGGCAGACAATGGGCCAAAAAAGAGAGCTGGGGGAGCTGAGAGGAAGAGTCCCAACCTGGAGAAGTCAAGGGGGGCTTCCCAGAGGCAGTGGCATCCAAACGGAAGCCTGGAGGTAGAGGAAGAGCTCAGCTGGGGAGAAGAGAAAGTGATTCAAGCAGACAGCCAGGCCTGGCTGTGAGGACTTTGGGGACCCAGGGGTGGTTCTCTGATGCCCAGCCCAGCTGCTTCCCATGGCACCATGAAGCTATTTTGACTTTTGGCTTGCTCCCTGGAGACTGTCATGCAGAAAAAAGAGACCAATCTTTGGGATTGGACAGACTTGGTCTATCCCGGCTTCTACATCCTGACTATGTGACCCTTCGAGATAAGCCAGCTCATCTCTTTGAGCCTCAGTTTCCTTGTCTATAAAATGGGGATAATAACAGGTCCCCTCTTTCCTAGGGTCTTGGTGAGCAGTAATGACGTGCACATGAATATGTGTCACGCTGCCCACTGCTTAGCAGATACAGACAACGGCAGCTATTCTGATTGTCCCGTGCTTTCTACCCTCATTAGTCAGTGAGTGTTCTGAGGGCAGGGTGAGCCCTTCTTTGAAGCCCTGGCCCAGGGCCTGGCCCTGGAAGATGGTGGCACATGCCTGCCATGGGCAGGGTCTTGTCTTCCTTACAGCCCCTGGCCTGCAGCTGAGGGGGCACCTTGACGCATGCAGGGAACACCTAACCACCTGACTTGGAGCTGCTGTCCACCCAGCTCCAGGGAAAGGCGGGGAGAGACAAAGAGAAGGTCAGCCTCTGTTCCATGGCCAGCAGCTGTTACTGACAGGACCCATGTGTTGCCCTTGGTTTCTCTCTCCTACGTAGATGTGGCCCTGGTGGCTGCCAGCCCTCAGATGGACAGGGACAGCTTTCTGCTGCCCTCCCCCTGAGGAGTGGCATGTACCACTGACCCACATCTACCACCCAGTCCCATGTGCTTCCGAAGGCCCAAGGCAGGGGTCTAGGAGACCCTTTGCTTGTCCTGCTCCAGCCAAATCTCCGGGCTGGATCCCACCACGGCCCCACCTCCTCCTGGACGGCTGGCCTCAGGAAACTCTGCCTATGACGTATCATACATTCCCTCAGAGCCATTAGATTTTTATTTTTAGGATTTATTGAGCACCTCCTGTGGGGCCCAGAGTTATCTCATGAATCTTCTTACCCCAACAACCAAGAAGGTCAGGATTACCTCCTTGGTTTATAGACAGGGGATCAGGCACAGAGAAGTGAGTCAGTTGCCCTGAGATCACACAGTCAGGAAGGGGCGGGAGGGTGTGTGTGTGGGGGCGGGGGGGGAGGGGATAGAATCCAGTCTGCTCACTCCAAAGCTCTCTGAAACCAAGAGAGGACTCAGAGCAGCAGTCCTCTCTTGCTGCAGATGAGGAAACTGAGCTGCAGTGGGAAATGGATGGTCACCAGCCAGTAAGAGGCAGAGTTCAGGTTTGAATTCAAATCTGTAAACTGAGTCCAGTGGTTATATGGAGCTGGGCTGCCCTTGGGGACTTGCAGTGGAAATGGGCCAGATAGTGAACCCAGTTCAAATTTTGCCCTGCCCCAGCCCTGGGCAGCCCACACAGTGAATGCGAAATAAACCTGCTGGAATGAATGAAAGCTGGAGAGGATGACTGGATCAGGCTGCTCAGAGGCTTTCTTACTGTCTTGTTCAAATGGCACTCCTCCTACTCCTGTGCTGGCCATTGCTCATTGGTCTAAGGGTTGGTACCAACTCCGGTCCAGTTTAAGAACCCATTGTGGCCCTCGAGTCAAAAAGTTTGCCCACCCCTGAACTAGACCAATCATAGCCTGCCCTCCTGCCAGCAGTGATTGTGCTAGGCATAAGCAATCTAAACTCGGCCAGTTAGCCCCAACCCAGGAATGCTCTTTTGAACCTAGGATTCAGAAGGTTGAGTTCGGATGCTGTAAAATGTGAAACTCAGAGGCCAGGAGTAATTATGTTTCCATTTATGCAGCCATTTCAATGGCAAGTCAAAACAAATCTGGCCATCAATGGCTTAATGAATAAAGTTATATTTTTCTCACAATAAAAAAATCTAGAGGGAGGTGACATGGCCATTGGTTCAGTCACTTAGTGGGTAGGAGCTAGGGTTCTGTGATTTTCTTGCCTTTCTCTCCGGCTATAAGATGGCTGCTCCTGCCCAGCCATCATACCTGCATTCAAGGAAGTATGAAGGAGAGAAAGGTTAGGCCAGCTGTGTTTGACGCCTTTTATAAAAAATAAATGAGTCCTTTCCAGAACCACAGCGATCCTGCTTACATCTCACTGACCTAAACTATATTTCATGGCTGCAGCAGAGGAAGCTGGGAAAGAGTACTTAGCTGAGCACATTGCTGAACAAAATCAGGGCTATTTTAAATGAGAAGGGATGCTGAGTGGGCAACCACCCACCGCTGCCCTGTGACAGTCCTCAAGACACAGGTGAGAGATGCAGAGAAAGTTGTAGTGGCATCTAGGTGTCTGATTTTAGGATTTGGTCCAACCTTCCCTTGGATTCTATGATACCTTAAACCCTACTTTTGTACTAAGCTGATTGAAATAGGTTTCCAAACTGCTCTAAATGCCAGGCCCATGGCCCCCTCCTAAGGACAGTGGCTGCCTGGGAATCTGTGCCCATCTGGGGTCATGAGTTTGGAATCATGTGATCTCTTTATCATGCCAACAATGATTGAACCAGTAATCTAGGCCCCAAGACCTGGCACAGTGACAGTCACCCTAGGGAAGAGAAATGAGATATGGTGTCCTAGCCCTAGGCCTCCTGAAGACAAAAGAAGAAGGCTCTAGGACAGGGGTGGGCAACCCCTGGCACGTGTGCCAAACATGGCACGCCAGTAACTTTTGCTGGCACAAGAAACCCTCTCTTATAATCTTCCATTTACAATTTTTTTCTTAATATCGACTTTTTTATTTTTCAGATAAATTCAGTGTAGGTGCATCTTAGATAAATAAATAATTTTACATAACAAGTTATCTTAAAGACCATAGACATGGATTGACAAGAGAGGGGAAGAGCAATTTCAATAGTGTTGAAAACAAACTATTGAGGACTTGGAATGCCATTCCAGAAAATTTTTTCTGTTTAAAAAACTTTGCAACAGCGTGACTCTCCATGTTTTCATCCACATACGCTTGTGAATCTTTGTTCTCAGTGATGAATTTTGTTAAGTCTCATAATAGGAGTAGCCTGACGGATGAAAGTAGTAGCTCGTGCATATCTCTGAAGGTCACGAAATATAAATCTGATGTAAAATCTCTGTCATCAGTGATGCAGCAGCAAAAGTGCCACTGATAATAT